TAAGTTGCAATAAATAGAGTATTTTTATTTAAGGTTTTATACCTTAAATGTTATTAGTTTATTTTATATAGAATATTAAAGTAAGTTAAGCGTTATTATTATTCTTATATTATTATTATTATTATAAAAGAATGTTATATGCTAACAGATTAACCTTAAGTATTAATAAGAAGTTAGTCTTACTAATAAGCTTTATATTATTATAAAATTTATAAAAACTTTATTATAATATATATAGAGATTTAAGAATCTTTTTTATAAAATGTTACAAAGATTAAAGCTATTTAGTTATATTTTTCTCTTTTAGTAAATATTTAGAAAAGTTAAATTAATCTAAAATAAAACTATAGAATAGAACTCTATATATTTTATAATTAAGTATACTATTTACTTTAAAGATAAAGTAAATAGCTTCTATTCGTCTTGAAGTATTAAAGATCTTATACTAGCTTAAAGTATCTTAACTTCTAATAATTAGCTATAGTTAATAGAGATTATAATTATCTTAAAGCTTATCCAAAAGATTATATTTTAAATATAAAGTTTTAAATAAAATAGCTTATATAATAGACTTTAAGAAGTAATTATTATAATAAAGTATTTTTTAAATTACTTTAAGAAATAGAAGACTTTTTATGATAATATTAATAGTAGGAATTCTTAAGATCTTAATTTAAAAAGGTTATAAGCTTATAAAAATATTTTAAAAAACTACTTAATTAGTAAATTAATAAGTTTTATTATATACTTAAAGATTATAAGTATTTTAAAAATAGTTTAATAAAAGCTTTTTACTTATTTATACTTATTAAGATTATATTAATAATATCTCTAACTTAAAAGAGATAGAGAGTAATAACTAGTAGTATTTAAAAACTTCTATTAATAATAAATAGAAGAAATTAGATAAGTATTATACTTTTATAGAGGAGTTATTTCTATATATTACTATATTACTCTTCTATTTTAAGTTTAATATAAAATACTTAGAAAAGAATTAGTAATCCCCTTATTAATAGGATTAAGGATCTAATACTAAGCTAGCTTTCAAAAGATATTTTGATTAATAGTATTTTTCTGAAAAAAAAGAAAATATAAAGAATATAAAGTAATAATTAAAACTTTATAATTTAGATAACTTTAAGTAGTAAATTTAAGTAGAAGTTATTCTACTTAAAGAAGAAGACAATAATAAAGAGCTAGATAAGTTAGAGAAGTATTTAGGTTTATAGAAGTAAGCTAATTATAACTTTATTAATTAGTAGTTTATTTATATAAAAATATCTTTAGCTAAATAGGATAGTATTAAGTATCTTAGTAATACCTTTATAGTTATCTAACTATAAGAAAGTATTTAGTACTGCTTCTCTTACTTAGACTTTATAGAAGCTAGTAATAAAAGTAAAAAGGTTAGAAATACTATAATATATAAAGTAATAGTATAAGAGGGGGGTAGTCTTATTACTAAGTAAGTTTAAATAGCTTTACTTAGTAATTAGTTAAGTATAGTATTATAATATAGTAATTAAGTTAATTATAGGCCTCAAACTTAATTGATTGCGTTGGGGGTTCTGCTGGGTTTAATAAAACTAGCTGACTTGGGAGCATGGTTGTTCTGCTCAAAAGCGCCAGGATACTAGTAATTTGAGTTTGTCAGTTGGTATTGTGCTCTAATTACCCTAGGTGTAAGAGCCTCTTTACTTCTAATGAGTGAAGTTGCCCAGGCGAAAATCTGAATGATTGAAACGGTGGCCTTTTACGGAGTGATGTTCAGGTTATGCGTTGATGTTGCCATGTTGGCCCTACAGGCTGGTTGCACCTATCTTGAGTGTGATCAATTTGACAAGAACAGCGCGTCGATGAAGAGGGCTAGAGAGAGAGAGACGCCACCGACGGATGAAGGTCGCTGCACGTGGGAATATCAAGCAAGGAAAACCAGGCTAGTTTCATCACCACTGCCAAGCCAAATCTAAGCTTAAACGGGGTTACACGGGACGAACAGGGAAATGCCTGGATTCGTGTTGAGGAACTTTTGAACGGCCTAGATGAAGCCAGTGTTTCTGCCCTAGCTGTCGGACCAGGCGAACTTGTGGGCATCACCAAAGTCGTGTAAATGTGACTCAGGGATGTTTCCAGGAATTGAACGGCGAAAAGTCTCATTCTCTGCCACTTAGAAAACGTCATCAGTCCGACGCGGTCCCTTCCACAAACACCAACAGCAAGCAACAGGAAGGAAACGTCTCCGGCACCGACAAACAGAACCACGGGGGCGGCGCGCTGGGCCGCTAATTTCGGGGGTAGCATCAACCTGCCGAATCGGGGCAAACTCCCCCGCATCGAACGGAGCTCCCGCGGGGTCCCTGGCGTCTGGCCCAGGGTGACACTGGCGCACCTCGGTGAGGGGAACGACGCGTGTGGCCCAGAGCTCCCTGCTCGCCTCGCGTGTCTGTCCTTGCAAGATGGCCTTGGCACCGCGGAATTCATCAGCCCATTGGTGAAAAAGAAACAGCGATAAATGATTGTCTGTGGTCGGGCAAACTTGTCATACCGCAAAAGTTCCTGATAAGTGGTTCCTGGGAAGAAAAGTGCGTCAGCAGCTGCATGTCTCGCCAGCTGCCTCGTCGAGTACACGGTGAGTGACACTTGTCGATGATTGCGTCGGTTTGTTCCATCTTGAACCATCAACATGTAGGATATTGAATCAATTGCTGACGACAAGCAGCGCTCGGCTGCTGCCGACTGAGTTCTTACCCAGTCAATTGTCCCTGAACACCGCAGCCGATGGTCCTCGAGTCCATGCTCACCGACGTTGGGGACGTTGCAAGCCGCGAGGCAGGCAAGGACAGGCCTGGCCAACGAGCCTGGCGATCAACATCATCATGCAGCTGCGCAAGCCCAGGGTATGATCCGGGCGGAGCAGGGCAAACGAGAAGTCTTGGCAGACATGCTATATAACGCGCATCACCAGTTTTCGTCGAGTTTGCGACGCCTTTGCTCTCCAGGTCCCAGCCAAGCCTCCCCAGAATCATTCACTCGATCGTCGGTCCTTCACAATGAAGACTTCTGTCGGCGCCCTCCTCTCCCTCGCCCTTCTCGGCGAGGCCTGCCTCCTCCCCTACGAGGCAGCCGGCCGCAAGATCACCCGTCGCCAGATCAACAACAACACCGGCGTAGCCATCGGAACTGGCGACCGCTTCGACGGCGGCAACAAGGTTCCCCGCGGACTTGGCACGCAGCCCGCCGGCACCGACCTCGCGACTCTCCTGAACGTCAACGAGATCAAGAGCGCCGTCCGCGGACTGGTCAACGAGTACGACATCGAGTACTTCGAGGCGCCCTTCAAGACGTACCAGAATGCCACCATCTTCGGCGCAAAGGTCGGCGGCGCGGGCAACTGCACCGATGCGTACCGCGTGTACTTCAACGCTGCGATTCACGCCCGCGAGCGCGGTGCTTCGGATAACATCATCTACTTCATCTCCGACCTGTTGTACGCCAACAAGCACGGCGAGGGGCTGACGTACGGAGGCCGGACGTACTCCAACTGCGACGTCCAGCGTGCGCTCGCGACTGGCATCGTCTTCACGCCGCTGAGCAACCCCGACGGTGTGGCGTATGACCAGGCCACCGGCAGCTGCTGGCGCAAGAACCGCAACCCGGCGGCGTCGGGAGGAGACCCCGAAGCGGTGGGCATCGACCTCAACCGCAACTTCGATTTCCTGTTCGACTTCCTCGAGGACTTCGCGCCCACTGTCGGACCGAACGTCGCGTCGGAGAACCCTGCAGACGAGACCTACCACGGCGCGGCGCCGTTCTCCGAGCCCGAGACGCAGAGCATCAAGTGGGTGATGGACGAGCACAAGCAGGTGCAGTGGTTCATGGACATCCACTCGTACACCGGCACGGTGTTGTACAACTGGGGCAGCGACGAGAACCAGCTGCGGAAGCCGTACATGAACTTCATGAACGAGAGCTACGACGTCGTGAGGGGCTTGATGCCGGATACGCCCTCCGACGGCGGGTTCTACGGCGAGTATGTGCCGATGAAGGACTGGTCTGACAAGGTGTTTGCGGCGATGAGGATGGGCAACGCCATGGATGCGGCTGTGGGAAGGCATCATGAGGTGCAGCAGAGCGCGTACCTGCACCCCACGTCTGGTGCTAGCGACGACTATGCTTTCTCGAGACACTTCTCAGATCCCAGCCTGAGCAAGATTCATGGGTTTACCGTTGAGTTCGGATTCGGGAATGAGGAGGTTGACTGCCCGTTCTACCCGACAGCCCAGCAGTATCACGACAACATGCTCGAGACGAATGCGGGCTTCATGGAGTATCTGCTCGCAGCGTCAGAGATTGGCATTGGTGAGCCAGCCACCTGTGCTTGAAGAGCCTCCAAGGATGGGGAGAATTGAACATAGCAGAAGATGATATACAGAACTACCATACTTCCTGAATGGAAGGGGCAAACGATAATGTAATGAGTGTATGAGATACCTGTCCTCCTGGAGTTTGAAGTGGTGATGCCCCAATGAGTTATGTTTCCGGCGTAAATCAATCTAACGATTTCTGCGAGATGCCCCCATCGTTGGCTGGCAAGGTGACGGCGACTCAATCTTTCATCCCGAATCAATGACATCTCACTTGATAAGTAAAGTTTGAAGGAGATTGGTATTCGTGCTGACCAGACGACAGCAATGGCATCAATCATGCCGCAAGGCCCCATCGCTGCCCACCAAATCAACTTTTCGATATCAGGTGCAACAAGCCCATCTCAATGGGGTGGTCTCATGCAGACAAGCCACTAAGGAGTGGAGCGAGGTCAACGCCGTCCACCGACTGGACCTACTTAGGTACCAAAATTGGTCGGTTTTTCACCGGCTGTGTGTTCTAGTGGTTCATGATTTCTCGTTCACAAGATGTGCACTTGATCCCGAGAAGGTCGCAGGTTCGAGCCCTGCCACGGTCATGGCAAAATCTTTTTGCTGGATTTGCAAATGTTCAGCAAGGTGTTACGCCTTGGACTCGCATGCGCCGCATGTCCGCAGTTCAATGACGATGGGTGTCGAGGAAGAGTGCAGACGCTGGCTGGCGCTTCTCTGTACTTTTGTCGAGAGTCCAAGCGAACCATCTCCCCAAGCTCAAAAGTGCCCAACCAACCACCGAACATTGGATCCTTTTCATGTTCCCCGCCTGCCGGTGACGACTGACCGAGCTCGCTTAGCACTCCGGACCATGTCCCGGGCCTGTCCGCATGAATCCTCCGGCGCATCCCTCTCCGTGAGGCAAGCGAATTACCAATCCACCAAGATCACACCCGCCAGCTTCACAAGTAGATAAACACGTTCACAAACAGATAGACGATTCATCCCAAGAGTACATTCCCATCCCCATTATCACGCACAACCAGCACCATGACGACACCACCAACCCCGCAACCCTTCCGGGTCCTGCTCTTCAGCAAAACAACCGGCTACCGCCACGACTGCATTCCCACAGCCGTATCCGCCCTCCGCGATCTCGGCGCCCGCACCGGTGTCTTCACCGCCGACGCCATGGAAGACGCCGAGACCGCACTCACACCCACCTCCCTCGCCCGCTACAAGACCGTCGTATTCCTCCACAACACCGGCACCGACGTCCTCAATGGAGCGCAGGTAGACGCGCTCAAGGGCTACATCCGCGCGGGCGGCGGGTTCGTGGGCGTGCACGCCGCTGCGTCGGGGCTCAAGGGGGATGAGTGGTACGGCAAGCTCGTCGGCGCGCATTTCGATTTCCACCCGCCGCCCGAGGAGGGCACCGTCGTCGTGGAGGACGAGGGGCATTTCATCATGGGAGACTGCGGCTGTGAGAGGAAGAGCTGGATGGACGAGTGGTACGATTTCACGTCGCACCCCAGGCGGAACGAGAACCTCCACATTCTGGCCCGGGGCGACCCGTCGAGTTACTCCGGCGGCGCCATGGGGGATGATCACCCGCTTGCATGGTGTCAGGAATTCGAAGGCGGCCGGTCGTTTTACACTGCCCTCGGCCACTTCGACGAGGCTTACAATGATGAGTGGTTCATGGGCCAGATTCTCAGGGGCATTATTTGGACTGCTCGCGCCGACCAAGGGCGGGCGTAGCTTGTAAAGAGTAAAGGGTATCATACGTAAATACACGGCAACTCCGTGATGCCTGACTAGCCCGCCATCGCAATCCCGTTTTCAGGCCCCCCGCTAAATCGCACCTCGATCCTGGACTCTAGGGATTCAGACCAGATGTCATGTTCGAACCCGGGCAGATGAAGCAGAATGCCTAATTCCTGACTCGTATACCAGCTCGCCCGGTCCAGGTTGCCGGACCCCAAGAGGAGGAATTCCCTGTCAACGAGTGTCATCTTGAGGTGAGAGACGACAGGCTCTTCTGGGTCTCGTGCGGCTGTCGCTTGGAGATTGGGCCGGTAATAGAAGATGTCGAGACGGCCTGGGCGTTGGACCTGAGACTCGGCGTCTGCAGTGCGCTTACGAGAAACTTCCGCGCAGATTTGAGAATACTGTTTGATAAAAGATTTGAGGGTCCATTCCGTGGTTGTACACGCCGTGACGAGCTGCTCGATCAACATCATGTTTTTGCTTGTTCTAATGCGGACGTCGACACCACGCCGGATGGCATCTAAGAGGGCATCGACGACGGTCCGGCATGTTAGATTTGGTGTCACGATGTCGATTTCCTTTAGGGCATGGGCGAATAGTGAAAGCAGAGCCGCATTCAATGGGGTTGCGGGCGCTGTTACGCGGCGCCAAAAAGGGATATACTGGAAGCCGGGATACCAATGATGAGATGAAGGGAGAATGATGGCCGGACATGCTGGTAGATTCGCGAGGCTCAGCCGTCGATACGCGGTGTGCTCATCCGAAGGTTGGCTGGTCTGGCCGACATCCCCGCCTGCATCCTCCACTCCCTGGACAGCCTCTTTCGTGAAATCGGGGAGTTCCCGCGCACCTTTCGGCTCCCAAACGTTGGCGTAGAACTTCACAAGCTGGCCGACGGCTGGCCCGTCGAACTCGACGCAACCCTCAAACCACGACTCCCAGCTCACGTTGCAGCTTGGCATCCAGGCGCGCTTGCGGTCGACAATGACAAACTTTGGGTGCATGACGCTGAAGGGTAAGAAGAATAGGCTCTTGACAGAGAGGTCGATGCGGGCCGCTCGGAGGGTGGTGTCTGGGGGCAGCCCGAGCTTTGGCCACGCGGCGTTCGGGTACGCGTACCCATCCCTGGACCATGGGTGAAAGATCTTTTGGAAGAAGCTGCGCGAAGAGAAGCAGATGCGGACGCGTAATGGGGCAACTGAGGCCTCGCCAGCCACGCGGATTGCCTCTTGTCGGCGCTCAGCTAGAGTTTGAAGGGTTTCGCGGAGGGCATCGAGCGTGTCGGACGGCGCCCAAAAGCACGTAACTAGGACGACCTCATGTTGAGCGGCCAGGATGCCTGGAAGAATGGCGGTTCTGTAGATGGAAGCGCCGTTACCGACGGTGAGCGTTTTGGGACTGCATGTCGTCACCAGACTCTCAGGATCGGAGAGGTGGTAGTTTGGGAAATCGTTCAGCTGTTCTCCACGGTGAGACTTGAGCGTGTGAACCCAGTGGTCAAGAAAGGACGATGGGAACGCTGGTGATGTCATTTCGGAGATGGTGATTGGCGTGGGCTGTGGTGTAAAGTCGATATTGAGGATCAGGGGTTTGTCCTGAAAGTTTTCAGTTCCATTCGGAGGACGGAAAGGCTGTGATTCGACTGGAGGGCTGAGATGTCGTCATGGAAGTGGTTAAGGAGGCCCGACAGCGCCGAGTCATCAGTCGAGAGCGGCTGTCAATGCTCAATTTTCTCGTAAAGAGGGTTCAGTTGGTGAGATGAAAGGTACGATGATACGCGGTTAGGACATCGCATGGGCCTCGAATGGGAGGCGTTTATGCTGCTTCCAAACGGAGACAGAGGCAAAGAGCATGAGGATGGGGTGAGATTATTGCCGAGACGCCGGCTTGATCCCAGCAGCGTGGGCCAAATTCGGTGAGAATGAGTGAGGCGCAGTCGCGGGAAGCTTCAGCGATGCAGAGCCTCCGTGCGACGAATGAAACTGCACGGCGGTGTTTGACGTGAGGTAGAGCAGGAAGAGCAGGGCTGCGGGTTGCTGACTGATGTGCGCTTGAAGGCGTGTGGGTATTCGTAGCTTGTAGCAAGAGTGATTGATAGGTATGGGCTAGAGGTGACATGGCCGGGCCGCTAACCGGCGCATGAAGATAGATCGTCTGCTAAGCTCCGTTGCATACAGTTGTTTCCGAATTGTCAATGGAAAAGCGTCGCATGAGAAACAAAACGGTCGATTTCAGTGGCGGTTGAAGGTAATCATTGCAGTAGTAAGAATATTTTTCATTAAGTGGGAGACCGGTTGTTGGCGACAGCAAGCGAAGAGAATTAGTTACGCTTCGCTGTAGCTGCTGCCACCGAGGCACCTGATATCGGACCGTGACGCTTGTCGGACATGTGTCGCTCTGCGAGCGGGATGAGTGAGAGACTGTTTTCAGCCACTGGCACCCTTATGGTTCGGTTAGCACACCCTCACCGCAACGCAGAGAGAATACCTAAGCTGCGGTTGGGTAACAGAAGCTTGCCCGGGTACAGGCGGGAGGATTGCTAGCGGATTGCGGCGAGGACAACCCCGGATTTCTACACCTGTCCAGCGTGTGTCAAGTGACCTAGGGCGAAAACTAAGTTTTGTCCTCGGGAACGATGGTTTGAGAAGTATTGAGAACGGCGTGTCGGTTGGTAACGGCGGTGTCTTGTTTTTCTCCAGAATAGTCGCAGTAGGGCCAGTGCCGTTGTGAAGTGAGGCGAGACAGTTGTCGATACAGAGGTCGAGAAACAACCGAGACCAGTTGGAGCAGTGCCAAGACCCCCGAGGAAAGGGCAGCTTGTCCAGTCGTCACCGGCGCATCTGCTGTATTCCAAGCGTCGAGGCACTTGCTGCAGTTGATGTGTCCAAATCATCCAGAGTCCCTTGGATCAGTGGAACCACTTGACCGATGAATTGACTCGTGGCAGCGGCAGGTGGCAGCATCGCTGGCGCCGGTTATCTGCCACTGGCACTGAGCAGCGAGGCGACTGTGCAGTATTAGTGAACCTAGGGTCGCCGGCGTTGGACACGGCCTGCAGCAGCTCGAGGCCTGGGTTGGTCTGGGCTACCAAGGGGCGTTCGGTACGGATACCTACACTGCCCTGCTCATCCACCATCAGATTACTTTGAAGTTAGCTGGTGAGCAGATTTTCAATGGGAAATGATGAAATACGTACCAGGGTTTGGGCCTCTTGATGACCGTCGATGGTCCATGAGCCCATCCATCCCATCCGTCGCATCTTTCCAATGGGCAGTGCCAGGCGAGTGTGAGCTCATAATAAGCTCAACCTCCCGAGGAAGGAAATGCAGCCCAATACCTAGAAAAGCACTGGTCTTCCGATACGAGAGCTTCCTGATAACTTAACCAAAAGCCAAGCCGAGGGAGCTGGGGGTACCACCTTGGCTTTGAAGCTCGCAGACATCTACCGACGGCATGCCTCGCCCATTTTTGTCTCTCACGCACGCCTGAGGCTGCTTGGCGGCTACAATAGCGGTTGGATAGGCTTAAAAAGGTCCACGAGGCAGGGAAGGCAAGGGGAACGGGGTTGAGACCGTCTCATTCTGCCTCTGCCAGCGTCGGCGCCAGCAGCAGCAGGGAGAGATGGGAATGAGACTGTGGCCCTGGGATTGATGGATGGTGGACAGACAGCAGGGGGTCGCCCCGTCCCCAACGACCCGTCTCGATTTAGCACAGCCATTGCTCCGTGTGGGTGGTGGGTGGATAAGATCGGTCGTGTTCCTGGATCCCAGTTGCGCGGCATGGCAGAGGGTGTGTTGATCATTGATCTGGACAATACGACTGGCTGTCATATTTTCGTTGACTGTCCATCGCTGAGACCAGCCAGCAGAGACCAACCAGACAAACCAACCTAACGCCGGTCCCACAGGTGGTGGTGGTGGTGGTTGGTAGTTGGTGGTTGGTGGCAGGCTATGGAAGCCAGTTGCGAATGAGTCCAGGTCCAGGTCCAGGTCCGCGTCCCCGCGACATGGCGCCGGAAAAGTCGCCGATGAAATGCGGATGGGCGACTGCGACCCTGCGACCGCTCATCAACCGCCGGATGGCCACGATTGTAACGACAAGCGTGAGAGACCGTCAAACACGCCAGCGACGGTCAAACAAATCCACCTCGGGAAGCGGGCTAGGCTTTTTTCACCCTTCGACTGGAAAATGGAGACCGACGGGAAGATGGGGACTGGAGAAAGCTGGAGTAGGTAGATGGGAAATATTGTCTCTCTCGTCGTCCACTCTCTTTTTCGCAAGAGGGCATGTCCCTGCCGGCGAAGACAATGCATTGCGAGAAGAAGTCCCGACAGGTCTGGCTGGCGAGGACGAGGCCGGGAAGGATCTTGAAAAGAGAGGAAAAAGGCGCTCGTTAGTGGTGGAGGAAGCGCGGCTTGTGGCGGTTGGCTGTTTTAGCTGGCTCAACGGTCTTGTCTCTGGCGGCTGCGTTCCCTCCTTTTCTGGTCATTCCCTCCTTCCCAATGTCGGCAACTGCTGGGGTGAGCCATGGGGGCGCTTTCCCTCATGATCATGGGAGTTCCTTCCCGCTTCGTTGTCATCGAATGACGAATGACAACGGGAGCAGAGCAGGTACAGCAGGTACGTATCTAATGCGAATACCGTATTCCTTACGGAACGAACGAGAAAGCCAGCGAGAGTTCAGCTCAGTCCAGTTCAGTGTTCAGTCACATCTACGCCAAACACTCCATTAGACCCCCTCTCATCAACAGCACCTATCGCAACGAGCAATTGGATAATTAGCATCTCCCGTCTCCTCCCATCCACATTGTTCAAGCTGATGGCTGACGGGCGACAAGGAGACAAGCTTCAGGGGGGCAGCACTCCCTTCATATCAGAGGCAGGTAAAGTGCTTGCCTTGCCTGTCCTTAGGTCAGGTATCCGGCTAAAAAGCTCTCCACTGCACCATTTCCAACTGGGGCTTCTTGCAGAGGATGTGCAGATTGGCGGCACAGTCTTGCAGCTGCCAACCATTAACAACTACCTTATTCCACCGACCATCTGCAAGCGAAGGATGGCAACAGACGGTTGACGGCTTCACCACGATCCAGGCCTTGCTTGAGCTGCATGTCGAGCTCCAGTGCGGCGTTGTAGGGTAGTATTCGCAGTATGCAGCAAGCAGCGTGGACAGGGGGAGACGGCGACAATCTTGGGGTGGTCAGCTCCCAGTCCTTGGTCGTCTTGCAAGCTGTGGGCTGGACCCTTTTTTCTCTCTCTGATGCTTGCTTGGTGCTCGGAGTTTGGTACCCGTTGAAGAAGAGATACCTGCATCTCCACCCAGTTTCGTGCGACACGAGGAGTAGCTCCCCTTTCTCAGGTACCGGTGGTGATGCTCCGTACCCCGCCTCCAATCTCTTTCCCATTCTCGAAGTCGTCGAAAAGGGTGGGGTCTTCTGTCGCCGTCGTCTTCTTTTTGTTCTCCCACCGATGCTCCCCAGCGGCCCAGCACCCAGCAGGTGGTAACGGCCGGGGCATGCAAGCAGGGCAGCAGGGCAACAACATGTTGGGACCACGTTGGATGGGAAACTGGAACTGGGAACTGGAAGCTGGACATGGCAATGATGGTGGTGTGTGTGTGCTCTGCTGCATGTCATTCATGGCAGTCTACTGATGGATAAGACGGACCTGATACGGTAAATGTGAAAAGCAAGTCGAAACTCAGCATGCGCGTACCGTAACAGAAACTCTCCCTCTCTCTCTCTCTCTCTGGACGGTGCTTCCAGCAAGCTCAAGCTTGCTCTTGCCTCCCAGACGGAGTGCCTGCCTGCCTGCCTTCTTCTCTCATGCGTGGGCAAGTACCAGGTGAGTGTGTGTGAGTGATCCCAGGGAAGGTGCTGCTGCATCCATGATCCCCCTTCTTTCCTTCCACTCAGGAGTGACACACGACCCACCCCACCAGTTGAGGTACGTACCGCGCGTGCCTTAGCCCATGCCTAGCTTGCCTCCAAAACCCACCTCCCGCAGCAGAACAGCACCACACCCCACCCAATGCTTGGGGACCGCTAGCGTTGTGTGAGGTCGAGACTGCCACAACGCCGCCGTACCGTTCCTGCTGTCTGTATCGGTATCTTGTACCGCCAAACAGCTCCTGCTCCTGCTCCCAATGCTGGACCTGTCTCGACCAGCAATTGCATCGGCTTCAGATGCACCTGCCTCTGCACCTGCCTCTGCACCTGCATATCTGAGAGGTGAGGACCGTAAAGACTGGAAGTAAGTAACTGCACACACACCACCTGCCACCAACGGTACAGAAGGTGGCACCTGCATCGCACCTCCTGCTGCTCCTGCTCCTCCTCCTGCTGCTGCTGCTGCCGCGAATGACGGAAATTTCCCAATCCATCAACCGTCCGTCGTCGTCCCTGCCCTCGTCCCCTCGTCCCTCCCCTCGTCTTCAGTCTCAAGAAGCTGCCCCTCTGGCAGGTGCACCTGGCAATCCGTGTTCACGTTCCCAATTTTTTCATCAGCAGCTACCTAGAGTACGGATACCTCACCACCTGGTCGTGCCTTCCTTGCCTTGCTGCCGTGCACTTGCTTCCCATTTTTAAACCATCTGCCATCCCTCCCACCCCCTTCCACGGCCCTTCCTCTACCTGTCCTTGCTTCCCACCAAACCCACGGTACCTCTCCCTCGCCTTCTACCCCCGTACCTACCACCACCAGATACTCACGCCAAGATCTTTGCACACGAATCCCGTCACCCTCCCTGGCCCATTGCCTGGCTCTGTCTCTGTCTCTGCTGCGTGATAATCGCCAATTCGCCACTGTATCCTCGATCCCTCTCTTCCTCTTCTACAACCCGCCGCCAGCCCTTCGTTCTCTCGATTCCCTTTTCACCAGACAGACACACCACTCTCACTTACCACGCGACACCACTACCCGCCGGCTCGATCCCACCATCGTTCGTCTCCCTTCATCAAGACACACCCGTTGAATGCTGGCATCGACCTGATCTCGACCCCGATCTCGACCCACCTCCCTCCTAATTGCCACGTAAAGCCAACAACCGGCTCCTAATTACCTACCACGAACCGCTATCGTTCTACCAACTGTCGAGACCAATACCGCAACCATGAACTTCACCAAGAAATTCGACCGCGCCTTCCAATGGGCCGGCGAGAAGATGGGCTCCGAGTCCAAGACCGGCCACTCGGACGAGTTCAAGATGCTGGAGCAGGAAATGGCCCTCCGATATGACGGTACGAAACTTTGTCCACCCAGAAACGATCCAACTGGTGATCCCGATTTACACGCAAACATGCTAACGGTGCCCTTCTGCAGGAATGGAAAGGCTGCAAAAGTCGACCAGCACCTACGTCAAGTGGATTGCCCGCCGCGGCGAGGGTTTCGAAGACAAGGAGAAGGGACTCCCCATTGCCTTTGTCGGTCGCATGATGATTTCCCACGGAGAGGAATTCGAGTCTGATTCGGAATTTGGCGCGTGTCTGCTTGGTACGCTGCGTTCCGCACCCCGCAACCCGACCTGGCTAACTGAGGATTGACAGCTCTTGGCCGAACCAACGAGCGCCTGGCCGGCATCCAAGAAGGCTATGCAACGGAAATCACCAACAACTGGCTGGAATCCGTCGAAAGATCTTTGGCCATGATGAAAGAGTATCAGGTACGTACCGACGTCATTGCTTGCTCAAAAGTGGTTTCAGCCCGTCCCATCTGACACACTCCCCGCAGGCCGCACGGAAGAAGCTCGAGTCGCGTCGATTGGCCTACGATGCGAGTATCAGCAAAATGCAAAAAGCGAAGCGCGAGGATTTCCGCCTCGAGGAGGAACTCCGTACCGCACGTGCCAAATTTGAGGAGGCTGGCGAAGATGTGATGCGCCGCATGCAGGATATCAAGGAGGCCGAGGCCGACAACGTCCGCGACCTGACCGGCCTGCTTGACGCCGAGCTGGACTACCATGAGCGTTGCGCCGAGGAACTCCGCCGTCTCCGCAACGGCTGGGCCGGCAACGCACCCTCATCCCCGACAGACCGCCGTCTTGGCAATGGCCGCGGCCGCTCCAACACTTCGCGCTCTTACAACGACTACTCGTCCCGCAGCCAGCCAGTTGAAGAGGAACCCGAGCCGATGCCTGTTCGCATGCCCATCCGGTCGCAGCGCTCCGAGAGTACCCGAATTGGCGCCGCTGCGGAGCCCGCGAGACCGTCTATCGGTAGGTCCCAGACGTTTCAAGGCCCCGCTGCTGTCGAAAGACGAACGACCGCGAACCCTCCCGTACCGAGTGTGCCCAACGTGGGCTCTTTGCGTGGAAATTTGAGGCCTACAGGCAAGTCTCTGGGCAGAGACGATGTGTTTGCCGACCGGGATGATGACCACACGACAGCCAGCGGTAGCGGCAGTCCGGAATGGGGCGATCGCAGCGCCAGCCCTGCGACGAGCATGGGAAGCCTCACTAAGAGCACAAGTAACTTGCAGTCCAAGAAAGCGCCGCCCCCTCCTCCCCCGAGCCGTGCGAAGAAGCCGGCACCACCGATTCCTGCCAAGAGAGAGGTCGGGTACTAGATCTACAAGGCCTATTGAGAATGGGTCTTTAGACTGTGCGGGCATTTTTCTGGCCGCAAAGTGTGCTATACTGTTTGTTTCCGTCTCGTTGCATAAATAGACTGTTCATTCCGTTGTCGGGGTAAAGGGAATCCGACGGGAGCATGGCGTTGGGGCGCATTGATATCCGTGGGCTGGATCCGCAATCGTTGGTTCCCCTCATCGCATAGCTTCTGCTGTTGGGAAGGGAGTGATTAGACGGATGGCTAAGCTCGGTTCGAACATGGATACTACTCTATAAACTAGTTGAAAAGCAAAGTTATCCCAGCTGACGCGGCCGAGTTACAAATGTTTAGTGTGACACACAAGGCAATGAAACTGTGCGATCGCCCACTGGAGCTCTTCATCAGCACTGAGGGTGGCTGTCAGAGGAGCGTGCCACGGCATAATGTTCCGAGTTGAAGCGCGTCGAGAGGAGCCATCGTTCGAAGCATCAAGCAGGCAGTTTGTGTGGTGCCATCTTCTTCCACCTGGGCTCGGGGACGATTGGTGTTGGACCCTGAAAATCTGACTCGTAAATCCCCCGGTGGATGTAAACCGTTCTAGGCATGTAGGCCGGGTGTGTTCCGACGTCAGGACCCGCATCAATCGGAGGTGTGCAGCCGTTCCTTGTCCCGAACTGCCGATATCCGGGCTTGATGCCGGGAGTCAAGCCACAGCCAGACATGCTCCAATGGGTGTGGCTGATCGTATCACGTGAGTGTGTTGTGGCTCGAGCTTCTTATCCGCTCAACCTAGGCAGCGATAAGCAGCCGCGCCTTCTTTGTGAATCGCGACGCCTTTTCGATCGTCGATCTGCCAGCAGCTTTTCACACAACAAACATTCTCGTCCACCTTTGGTACTCGCGTTGTATTCTGTAGCGATTCAAGCAGAAATTGCCTCCTGCGTCCGATTAGCCGCCGCAGCTTCTCCAATCGACGTCTAGCAACCCGCAGCTAGTCGACATTCCGTTTTCTCTGCAAGAGTCAATCGTCAGTCAGCCTAGCGCGGTCCGGCGCAACAATGGCGACCGAAGATGCGCGATACCGGCTTTCGACCCAGTACCGGCTGTGGTCCTTCTCCCCGTCCAAATTGGCCGAACTTCGAGAAACGACGAACAGCCTCGCCAAGACGAACATTAGCGCTCGGCTCCTCGAGCTGAGAGGTGGTAACCAGGATGAGCCTCTGCCTGAGTTCCTCTCGGCCGCCGAAGAGACCCAGCTGCTCAAGTTCTTCACCGTCGAGCTTATCCGCGCCGCCACCTTCTGCGGCCTGCCCACCGAAGTCAGAGCTACTGCCACGGTCTTCCTCCGCCGATTCTTCGTGACCAACTCCGTCATGACCTACCCGCCTACCGGATTGCTCAAGACGTGCCTGTTCTTCGGAAGCAAAGCAGAGGGAATTTACACGAGACTTGCCAAATTTGCCGACAAGTTTCCCAACACGAGCGAGGAGGAGATTCTGGCGGGAGAGTTCTTGCTGTGCCAAGGAGTGCGCTTTGCCTTTGATGTCAGACATCCGTTCCGTGCTCTGGAAGGAGCCATCTTGGAGCTGCGAAGGTATCCCGATCTTGAGGTGAGTTGACACATGATACTAGATTTGTGTGGAGGGCATAACACTGACCAAGGCCAGAAATCCCGAGTCGAGACCGCCCACCTTCGCGCTCGAGAGTACCTCAAGTTCAGCTCTCTCGTCACCGATGCCTATTTCCACTACACCCCCAGCCAGATCATGCTTGCCGCTCTCTCGCTCGCTGACAGAGAACTTGCCGAGAAATTCGTACAAGGAGCCTTTGCCCCTCCTCATAACGGCGAGGGCGCCCACAAGACGGATCCGACACCTCGATCTGACCTCAGAGACAAGGTAATGGGAACAATAGAGTCGTGCCGGGAGTTGCTGGCAACAGAGCCTCCAGAGCGGCTGGAAGAATACTGGGGCCAGGTATGTTTGTCAGACAAGTTCATGACGGACAACCGCGTTCATGAAAAGCTGTCAAAGGCCATTGCTAACAAGACACGTAGCCTGAGAGCACCAAGCTGATCCGACCCCTTCTTCGAAAGCTGAAGAAGTGCAGAGACCCCGATCGCGCAGACCTGGTGGCCTTGCAGAAGGCCCGGCGGGAGATGGCGGCGCAAAAGGAGCCCCGCCGCCCGAAGGCCGAGGGAGACGGCTCAGCGTTCGGCGGAGAGATCGCAGCAGCAAACGGGAACGATGCACGGGAGGCGAAACGCAGAAAGGTAGCCGAAGGAGGCGACGATGTCTTTGGCCCAGCATTGTGATGAGATGAAAGGTCTGGACCGCGACGTCGAGCTGGCATTCCTCACTGCCCTGGCGCGAATGCACATGGCGTAATAGAGCTCAAGCCACGGCGCTTACAGCCAGGACCAATGGCTGGGCCGGATGGTTTGGCTCAATTCATACATACGAAGATACCCCCCAAGATTTTATTGCATGGCTTGATTGCTCTGGATGGTGAAATTGCGACGTGGCAATGGACAAGGCGTCCCGGTTCTACTAGTTCCAAACACCGCCGTGGACGGTTGATGGGATTCCGAGGATGCCCTGCCTTGGGTTTCCCTGATTTTCAACATGTCGGTTCATCTAGACGACGCCCGGAGGCCTCAACGGGTCAACTTTAACGCATTCGGATGAGTCCTGGGGCAATCACCCGTCGACATGCGAGCGCCAAGCTGGCTTGTCGGTGGCAGGAATGCGCCATTGCATCGACGGCTGGAACAAGCGCCAAAGTCGCGATCGTGTCAGCAGTATCGATGACGCACCCATTTGAAGATGACATCGCTTTTTACTATGAGGAGATGGGCAGAGTCGGCACAGCCGGCCCCTGGAAAGGCTTGGGGTCCCAAGAAGCTTCTCCATTATTCGTGCTTGGCCATGCTCCTCGAGGAGCTAGGCTTTTTACGGACAGCTGTCTTGGGGAGCTAGCAAGGATCTCCCCTCATTGGCGAGCTCTCGCAGCTTCCACAGACTCGAGACATTTAAGACATGCTAGACATTGACTGGTCGAAGCGAACTCAGGGGACAGCGGGAATGGCCCGAATGGCCCTCCATCTGGTGTGGGATGCGGGCTGTTGGATGCGGGGAAGAAGTCTGCAGTCGATACCCTGCCCCGTCCCCCTTCATCTCTTCTGCTCTGCTGCCCGGGCAAATGAGATACGACACCAAGACACCACGATTGTATCCATCCCCAGTATACGGCAATCAGCAACAGCAAGGTGCATGAGAGTCTCAGTAATGATATGAGGCTTAGCATGCAGGAGAAGACACCCTTTGGGCTTTACGAATAATACATGACTAATTCGCCATGTTGCCAGGTAGCATTGGGGAGCGCGCCAGCACAGCTCGTCGCCGGCGCCGTCGGAGCCACTCCCGTCCCCAAATGGCGCTAGGCGGACTATCCTGACGACATTGACTTTTTGGCCCTCACTCGTCTGCGAGAAGCTGTGCCCAACGAGATGACAAGCTTACGCAGCTCCCAAGACATGGTGCGATGCCAATGGCCTGTTGCTGTTGCGTCTTGCGTCTACTACGTTCCCGGCGGCGATGCAATACTTTGCATTCCGCTCTTCGTTTGGTGCTTTTTTGCGATGACAGCTCCGGGAATGCCCAATTCCGCGGCAATGGCTTCGTCCCAGATTTGCATGTTCAGATGGAGCTTTCCCTGTAGAATCAAGCTCTATCGAAGTGTTCTCAGGGGCTCCATAGGAGCTTGTAGGTTTAAGAGACATAAGGTACCGGCTAGACCGTGTCACCACCGGCGAATCAGGCAACCGTTCCCCGGGATTCGATCCGATCATCACGGGGCCAACACACTCACTCTCGCCGTACCCCCGTACCACCGGCGCCCCCAGCTGCTTGCACTTTCCCACGATCGACTTGGCACTTTGTTGGCGATCCCGTACCCAAGCCTGCCCAGCGCAGCAAGCGTCGTTGTTGTCGCGCAAAGCTAGGGAGGACTTCTCCACCCCCTTCCCACCCAAGGCGTGTTCGGTCTCAATCCCTGGCGCCGTCGTGATGTCGACCAAGACCCTTGTCTGGGGTTGCCGACGAAGTAGCCTGTGTTTGGGGGCCGCTGGGCAACAAGCTTGATTCTTCCGGCCCAGCGCGATGGGTATTGGCTCCCCTCTCGGTTTCGAGAAAGTGTTTGTCATGACTCTTCATCCGTTGGTCGCGCCAAGGAGTGAGGGAGACATGTTTCTTTAAAGAGTGTGCTCTTGCCCCTTCGTCCTCCCTCTTTGTGGCAGCCAGTCCGACAAGCTTAGGATTCGAGTGGAACAGCAACACCTTCTTTACACAGCCATACACAAAGCAGCAAGTCTGTCGACATCAACACACCATGCAGATCAAGAACCTTTCACTCCTGGCTTTGGCCGGCACGGCCTTTGCCCAGCAGTCGAACCTCACCGAGGTCCTTACCTCTCAGAACTCGACTCTGTCGACGCTCATCGGGCTCCTTGGCCAACAGCCCGCCATCATGCAGGGTCTCGCTCAGGCCCAGAACATCACCATCCTCGCTCCCTCCAACGCTGCTCTCGAGGAGTTCCTCAAGGCTCCTGCTATTATGCAGGCTGTTGCCGCGGACCCGGGCTTGGTCGCGGCTATCCTCTCCTACCACGTCCTGAACGGCACGTACTACGCCTCTGCCTTCACCGAGCAGCCTCAATTCATCCCTACCCTTCTCCAGAACGAGACTTACACCAACATCACCGGCGGCCAGCGCGTGCAGGCCCAGACTGTTGGCGGCAATGTCACCTTCTTCACTGCCCTTCGTGAGAACTCCACCGTCTCGCAGGGCAACCTGAACTTCACTGCCGGCACCGTCCACATCATCGACAAGGTCCTCTCTGTTCCGGGATCCATCAACACCACTCTGCAGCAGGCCAACTTGACCGCTGCCGTCGGCGCCATCCGCGCCGCAAACGTCACCAGCACCCTTGCTGCCGCCAAGGACCTCACCATCTTCGTCCCGAACAACGCGGCCTTCGCTGCCATTGGAAGCTTGGCCGGCAGCATTGCCTCTGCTGAGCTTGCCCAGATCTTGTCGTACCACGTCGTCGGCTCGGTCCTGTACAGCCCCCAGATCACCAACACTTCTTTGACTACTCTCGGCGGCGGCAACGTTACCGTCAGGGTCATCAACGAGACTGTCTACGTCAACGAAGCCAAGGTTGTTGTCCCCAACATCCTGGTCGAGAACGGTGTTGTCCATGTCATCGATGGGTAAGCAAATAACTGCACTTCGAATGTGAATGTATGGAAGACTAACGTGTGAATAGTGTCTTGAACCCCAACAACACCTCTGTCCAACCCGATACCTCTGCTTCGACTCGTGCCCCTGCCTACTCTGGCGCTAGCACCGCCACTGACGGAAGCAACCCCTTTACTAGCGGCGTTGAGGCTCCCTCCACCACTCCACCTGTTGCCACCGAGACTGGCGCGGGCAACGGCGGCGCTGTCCAGACCACTACCAGCAGCACCCAGGCCGCGCCCATGAGGACCGCCGCTGTTGGCGCTGCTGCCCTGTTCGGTGGTATGGCCGCATACATGAACATTTAAGCAGGATTTATGGTACAAGAAAAGCGTGAGGGGGTGCAGGTGCGAGGAGGATTTGTTATACCATGAGAAAGAACGATGTTTTACCGTCTGACTTGCAGATGTTCATTCATTTATATCGTCAATACCCTGAGAGGAGTGTTTTGTAATAGTAGTACGAGAGTGGATGAGGAAGGTTTTGTAAGATTGTAATGAGAATATCGTCATTGCAGAATCAGTACCGAAACAAGTACCAGTGTGAAAGAAAGAAGTACCAATGTCGGTATGGCATGTGAACTTGGACAAGGTATTATCACCCATCTCTGTGGCCGTGGCTGACACAGTCCACTTTACACTCAATTGAAACTGTTTCTTGCACAGATATAGGTCCCCAACTCTGCTGACTATGACGCTTCAAGCACAGGACTAGAGGTTCCTAGGGAGAGAAGCGCGTTAGGTCGGACAGAAGAATGTAAAAAGAGTTTCAATTGAGGTGTATATAAAGAAATCTGACGTAATAGATGAACTTCCATGAACGCACCTGAAAGTTGATAAGGGAACAACAAAATCAACGGGCTTATGATGTGCCGTAGGATATAATTGGATTCGGCGATATGAGACTCGGACTTCGGTTAGAAACGCATGATTTGGTGCTGGGAATGCGGAAGTATCAACCTTCTTCTAACTCAACACCGCTGAACGTCCGGTCTTTTGAGTGGCCGTCCAGGATTCGCCCCTAGCCACACGACTCAGGATCCAAACAAGCCGTACTTTGAGATTAGTCGCGACTGTGCGGTTATATCAGCACTTGCGTGCTGTTTCAACGCCCTTTGGTGGTGGTGGCCTAGGAATCTTTCAAATCAAAAGAAGTGCTAGGCGATGGCTGCTTATCACAATGAGAAAAGGAAACATTATCCATGGATGATGGCATTTGAATCGCCACTGTTTAAGCGAGAACGCCGAATATTGCCATGCGTTGCCAACTCCAGCTTGGGTGCATTTCCGGACACTCAGATGTTCATCTGTTGACAATACTACGCAGTGAATTCCGCCGGCCAATGTACTGCACAAAGACCGCATAGACCAGCTTAGCATACAGGCAACCAATTTGATGCCATGTCCAAAATCAGCATGAGCAAGTAATGGCTTCGAGAATAACGCGAGAGTTTTACGATATCACTTCTGGATTGTTGGTAGATCAATTCCCCCTTTTGACTGAAGTAACTCGAAACTTTGCCGAACTAGAGCCAATGACGCTCCAACTGTTTGATGCTCGGGTTCGCACTTTCGTCCGTGAATCAAAAAAAACGAAGAACCAACAGGTAAATTTTGCCGGCCCGGAAAGCCATCTGAATGTTTTCGCAACTCTTGCGGAAACCTTGTGGGGGAAGCCCAATGGGAGAAACTCCCACCGGCAGCCGGGCCAGTCTGGAGCGTGCCCGCCAGAAAGCATGAAACATAGGGTTCAACTCTACTGCGCGTGCGGGCGAGTACGAGAGCTCCGTAAGGCAGCTGAAGTCCCTGCGCTTGTGCCTGGAGGCCCGAGCCTTGCATTACCACGCCATTTTCAAACTTGTTGGTGCCGTCGGCCGAAGATTGGCGCAACTCTCGGGTTCGTATGACGGCGATTGGGCCGGGATGGCTCTTCGTTCTCACCTCCTTCATATCTAGGCGGGGTACTTGATAGGCCAGTATTCAGGCGACATGTATTGACTTCAGTCTTCTAGAG